GGTCAGTTAGGGGGTGTACAAGTGGGGTACTCTTCCCTGTTCAGGGCCCGTGGTGATTCGTCCGTGGTACCTGCAATGGGGGAAGAGAGAAAGGGAGGGGCACGTGTAAGGTCATATGAGGAACGGGCAAGCAGATACATTCGAGTTTCAAATGCGTTACATAAGATTTATTTGACTGGAGCGCCAGAAATGGAACAGATTTCGACACACCAGTTTCAATATGACACAGACAAAGGCCTTCCTCAATGCATTAGGTTTGGTGGCCGCTTGGAGAACAGGAACAGGATAAGAGGCAACAATGGTAAAGTCTGAGAAGTCGTGACAGCCAAAAGGAGGAACGGGAACCTCAGAGTTCAACGGCCATTACACCAACTCCATTCCCTCACGAAATCCACAGGGTGCAAAGGAAAGTGACCAGCCAAGTAGCACTGTTGGTGCCCATTTTTCTTTGGCATCCATTGCCGGCCACCCTCCTAGGGTTGCTGCGAAGTGGAACCCATTATTAGGTCACTATTCGTCATGCACCACTCATGGATTAAAGTTGATAGTAGTGCTCCGGGGGTTGGTGACAATCTGCCTTACATACACCTTCCTTCTTAGATTGTCCTTGTATCGTCCAACTCACTAATAACCTCCAGGAAATCTAGTCCATCATATCAGAATTTACTCCCCTGCCAGGTGTTACGTGTTTGGTTACCCTAACCACGCCGCCTGTTAGCCTACACACAGTGAACTGTCCTGTCTCAGGTAGTAAAGTTATATTGATAATCTTAGCTTGACTTTGACGACTACAATACTGAGTGCAAATCCATCCTTATCTTGTCTGGCTTAACCACCGTAACTGTGGTAGACGTTCTTTTTCCCTTATCAAGGGACTATATCCTGTCTGTGACCCCTGTAACTCTCCAGACCATATTGATCTCGTCCCATTTCATCTCATTTCACCTTCTTCCCAAGCTTCGACCCGTCGTAATACGTGCTACGGATGACATGTTTGGCCGTCGTCCACTCCACCTGATCTGTGCATTACGAACAAAGGGATCCCTTACCTGAGAAAAACTACAACAAATACCACGCGCGGTATTACGTTGGTTTTGCTCACCCCGAGAATACCCCCGGCAGACGCACCACATCAAGCTGATCACAGGATTGCGCATCTCAGCCCAACTACCTCAATCGCGATGTCTGTCACGGGACTGTCTGGAAACCGAAGTATTTAGGTGCACTGAAGGCACGGCATTGCGATGCTCAGTTTGATAGCACACCCGCAATTGTCCACTTCCTACTCTGACCGCGTCCTCTCGCCCACTCGTTCCATTACCGACAGTCTTCATTTGTCACCACCGGGAGGCGTTCATTGCAATTTGCCAGACCTTCTGTCGGATGTAAAGATCTCCGCGACTTTTATTCGCAATCTTCACCGAATACGTCAATTTTCGTACAATTCGCGTGAACTCGTTCTCCCGC